CCTCGTTTGTTGTAACAATGCTCGCACCCTGAGACCGCCGGACAGCTCGCGAGGGGGCCCTGCACAACGGTGCGTGCCGCGGTCCCCGGCCACGTCCCCGGCCCGTGCCCGGGCCGTGCCCGGGGCCCCGTGCCGGGCCCGTGCCGGGCCTCCCCGGCCCGTGCCCGGCCCGTGCCCGGGGCCCGTGCCGAGTGCCGGGCCCGTGCCGGGCCGCGTGGCCCGTGCCCGGCCCGTGCCCGGGGGCCCGTGCCGAGTGCCGTGCCGCGTGCCGGGCCCGTGCCGGGCCGCGTGCCCGGAGCGCATTTACCGTGCCGGAACCCCCGTGCCCGCCGTCCCCGGCCCCCGTCCCGGGGCCGGACCGTCGTGCAGGGGCCCGTCTCGCGGAGGGGTCCGAGATCGCCGATTGCCATCATGATTGCATGGCAGGAGCTCACTGGAGCTCGGTCCAAGACGGCGGGTCGCGATGCTCCCGCAGGACACGCTCGCGCTCGTGGCGTCCTGGGTGAAGCGTAATGACTTGCTCGCTCTGCGCGCGGCGTCCGAGGCGAGCCGCGATGCCGTGCGAGAGGCGGTGGTGGGTCATGCGGACATCGCGCTCGAGCGCAACAATCGAGCTAGATTCTTCATCCATCACACCGTCGACGGCGGCCCCCGACCTTTAGATCCGCGGAAGGTTGAGGCGCTTGGGCGCGTCTTCGGTGGAGGGTGCAAAGCGGTGAGGATCATCCCGGGGTCGGACGATTTGATGGCGGCGTATCGCTCGTTCATCGCGAACGCGCAGAGCGGGCTGGGCTATCAATCGTTCATCTCGAGCTCTCACCGTGGCCTGGCCGAGATGTACGTGGAAGATGTCATTCCTTTGCATCAATTGGCCGAGCTCTGTTCATTGGCACCGAGGCTGAGAGAGTTCAAAATGTATGTGGGCGGTCATGAGTTTACGGAGCCCGAGCTTGTCGACTTCGCGGCGCAGGTGGGTCGAGCCTGTCCGTTGATCGAGAGATTTTGGATTCCACACCCAGACCACTCCGCGGCTGAGCTGTTTAGCATGCTTTTCCCGAAATCTGAAGCTATTCAATTTGGTGCAGCTCGGACACACTGGTACACGCCTACGAGGTTCGACAAGATCGAAGAATCTATCGCGCGCTGCGAAACCCGAGACTGCAATTCCAAGA